GGCTAGGCATTCCTTTTCTATGGCTGCATAGTTCTGCTACCGCAGCAACATCTTCCTGCTCAGGCACACGATGGGGTGTCTCTCCCCATTTCCGTCAGCCTGCATTAGCACCACACCCAGCCCTGTGTCTGAGGTGTCAGTGAACACCATAAAGGGCTTCCGTTTGCACTAGAGTGGAATAGACTGCATCACAGATTGTCTGCATAGAGAGGACTAACCAGGTGGCCTGAAGGAACTATGGGATACAATCCAGTCCAGAGGACTTCCGGGACCCAAGTCAAGCTGGAACTGTGTGCACACAGGAAAGCAATCGGGCTTGGACCTTTGGTCCCAGCTTAACAGAGGCTTGGACCCTCCAGCCCTGCAGGGTCCTGGGAACCTTGATCCAAGCCTTAGGTTAACACAGTTGGTGTGTGGACGCAAGGGCGTTAAAGCTGGAGCACTCTCATTGCTGTGTAGACATACCCGAAGGGTGCATCTCAGGTCCCCAAAAGCTAACATCTGCCATTGTCCTGTGGTAGGTTTAATGAGCCAATAAAAGAAGAAAAAATTCCCCACACAGAAATTGTCATGGAAAAACATCTAGATATAAAGAATGAAAGAGACTGAAGCGACTATGGATAATGAGGCACGCGGTTACCATGGTACCACATGTGAACTTGGATGACTACAAAGAGAATCATGTTGTGAGTAAGGTATGAATGAGTTGGGAAACAAATTAGGGTCTGAGGTAAAACCTACTGAAGGCAATGGGAGTCTTTCTGTGGACTTCAGTGGCCTTTGGATCAGATCTGAGATGTCATCCGAATTCCAATTGCCACTAGTGGGAGCCGAGGTGGCATAGGTACAGCATGTGTGAGAATACTCTCCATAAGAGCCTCTCTGAAATATGGATGATATCACCAGCACCTCTTCTGAAAAAGAGAGTCTATAGGAGTCTCATAAAGAAGAGTGATGAAGGGAACTTTAGCGAGTGATTGATGTGTATGCGATACACATACACCATATTAGAAGAAGTGCTGGCCCACCAGTTGGATATTTTGCAAGGTAGCTAGCTTTATAAATTAATCTATCATTTACCTTGGTTAGTACCAAGTAGTATATGTGACATATGTGCAAGTAATGTCCACCAAACTAAATCCCACGTTGCCTCTGGAGGAACAAATTAATTTATTCTTTGCATAGATGTGGCCTTTGAACATGTTCCACAGGGTTAGATTAATGATCCATTCCAGGAATTATTTCCCAGGTCACAATCTTAGAAATGACTTATGGTAAATCAATGGCACCCACTTCTCTGAGATCATTCTGCATTCAGTTGTTTCATCTAGCTTACTGTGACTCACTGAGACAATGAACTCCTTTTGTCATGCAGTATCCAGGCTACTTGATTTGAGGATTTAACGTCTGACTTCAAGGAAATAAGAAATCAGGAAAAATATGTAAACCAAAAGCAAAGGACAAGTAGCTCTTCTGTTAATAAGGTTATATATTTCCTACAGCAGAGAAACCACACCTACCTTTTTCCACAGAAGATGAAAAATTCTTATGCTCGTTTTTTTGGCTGGTATAACTGGCATTTGTTTTCCCTAGTAGAGCAAATAGATTAAAAGGGCAGAATTTTCTAAGACTATCTAATTGCTTGAAGATTTTAATTTTTATGGTTTAACTTAAATGTTCTGAAGTTTATTTTTATAAGTGTGATACTATGGCAGAAGGCACCCCTGAAGTCACACCCTGCACACTATTGTAGGAACCCTTGTACAAAGCCTGCCTTGTAAAGTATCATTTGAAAACTCATAATTTGCTGGACAGTACTGTCCTGGTAAAAAATGTAGGGCAACAGCGTCTGTGAAGTTATAATATCCTCCCCCACCCCCACCCGCCACATGGTGGTGGTAAGGCATGTTTCAAACCCCGCAGCCCTGGCCAAACCGAAATTGGCAAACAGGTCTGCCCCTAAACAAAGGAATGTGTGCTCTATTTAAGTTGCATGTAAGCAGTAAACAGAGTCATCATGCAGGAAGGGAAGACAAAAGAATTGCCTCTGTAGTGGTTTAAGTGTAGTGGTATGTACATAGTAAGAGACTGTCCCTGGCCTGAAGAGATCACAGTATGATGAGACAAGTCAGCCAAAGGATGGGAGAAAGAAAGTAGTATTAATATCATTTTACAGATGGGAAACTGAGGCACGGAAAGATTAAGTGCCTTGCCCAGGTTGTCAGTGGAAGTCTGTAGCAGAGCCAGAAACTGATTCTACACCTCATGAGTCCAGGTCCATTGCCTTAAAAACAACACCTAGCTCTTAGTGATTGTCATCAGTAGGTCTCAAAGGACTTTACAGAGGAAATCAATATCATTATCCCCCTTTTATATCTGGGGGAAACTGAGGCACAGAGAAAAGGAAGTGATTTGCCCAAGACCACCTATCAGACCACTAGCAGAGCTGGGACTAGAGCCCTGTATTCATGAGTCCCAGTCCAGTGCTGTACCCACTAGGCCACGCACTGCCTCCCTTAGCTACATGCCCATCCTTCCTTGTAATCTTTTTAACAGTAACAAGGTTTATTTTAGAAATTAGATGAAAGGTCCATGAAAACTTTGTATTCTTTGAATTAACTCAAAAAAAAATCTTTTGAGACGATCTGTTCTGCTTGAGAGTTTTTTTCCTCCTTTAAAACATAACTTATTACTATAATCGAGAAAATCAGCATCACGCAGTTCCTGAAACTTTTCTAAGTATTTGTATAACAAATTAAGTGTGTGAACAAAACAAAAAAGAATTATGCAAATTATACTTATCAAGCCTCCACTTTGGTATGAAGGCGTGTTATCAAATAACATACTTTATAAGTGAGACTTTTGAGGACTTTTTTTTCATTCTACTTCAGAGCAGAAGGGTGAGTGAACTCTTTATAAAACTACAAAGAACTTCTCTTAGGCCATGCTGCAAACCTCTCCCTTTACATTTTCCATTATATTTTCAAATGCTTCGCTATATTTACCTTTATTGTTACTATTCCAGTCTACTCGTATTAGTGGTTTCAACAGATGTGGAGTTGCTTGAAAAATGCTGGGGTTTTATGACTGAGGAGCGAGAGGACGAGCAAGAATTAGGGTATGTCTATACTGCAATTGGGACACAACGTGTAGGCATACCAGAGCTAGCTTTGAGCCAGCTAGCTCACTAAAAATAGCACTGTAACCAGAGGGCCATGGGCAGCGGCATGGACTGGCCGCCTGAGGGTCTGGGTGGGATTGTACTTGGATAGGCATGCTGTGCCATCGCAGCTGCACAGCTATCTTTAGCAAACTAGCTCGATGGAAGCTAGCTCAGGTCTGCCTTCACGTGCTGCAATCGTGCCTCGAAATTGCTGTGTAAACATCCCCTCCGAGTTGAATAATTGCTTTTTCATCATAACATCCAAAGGATCAGGAACCTGGAACTGCATCAAGATCCACTAGTTTGGAGTCAGTAGGACTCCAAATGGATGCAGAAGTCTAACACATTATATGAGAGTCACCCAATCAAGGACACAGTCACCCAAGGTAGGATGGGAGAGCCACACCGACATCCTGAACCCATCTTCACCACTCTCGCTATTTTAGCTGAATGATGCTAATAACTGAAGGAGAATTCGTGCTTTAGTACCGTACATTACGTCCAGTTTGACTTTAACCATTTCTAGCTAGATTGTAATGAGAGCAGGTCAGAAAACATTTTGATTTTTTTTCAAAATTGCTCACATTTTTGACATTTGAAAAATTTCAACCAGCTGTATAGTTGATCCAAAATTGAGAAGAAAGTGTTGTCAAAACTGTTCTGTTTAGTTCTTGAATGTTTTCACCACTTTGAGTCATTTAGACTTGTTGTGGATTATAAAGTTATTTTGCAGATGCAAATAGTCTGTGATCTGCCATACATAGGGCCCTTCATTTTCAGTTTTTATTTTATTTAATTTTCCCCAGGAATTTACCACTGTTTATTACCAAAACAACAAATACAGGTGAAAATCAGTGCAAAAAACTTAATATTTTTTCTGGGTAAATATCGGGGGGGAGGAGGGCGGTTGGTGGACGGAAAGAGGGGGGGGTGGGGAGTATTTAGAAGACTAATGCTTTGAATTCCATTCCTCAGTGTGGTTTGCTGCAGAACTAAACCAGAACTCAAAACACAACGGTACATCTGAGTTTAAGAAAACAATATATCTCTAATCCCCAAATAAAACTTTTCATTTGAATAAACAGTTTACTGTTGTAGACTTAGAACTATTAGCCTATAAATATTTACATTTAATAATTGGGCCACACCATTTGTAAGCCATACACTCAACTTCATCCTTTTCTCCTGTGTTTGTTTATTTTTAAACTTTCAAATACTTCTGAAATATATTCTGATACAGATTTTCATTTTCTTCCCATTTTAGTGTGTTAAAACTTCAAACTGTTATCTGCTAACAGCTTGAAATGTATACGTGGTGGGTGAGGGATTTATCAGGATGCTCAGATGCACACGCACTTCAGAGCTTGCATGTGTGTCTGTTTGTTTATTGGGTGTATCTTCTAGACTAATACATAGCCTTACTTCAACAGGCAGGTTTGCGTATACACACAGACTAATGTATTATCATAATGCATGTATCTCATGCTATGTATTGTATTTTCCTAATAAAATAAGATATTTTAATATATTTGAATGATACAACAGTAGGGTGAAAAATCAGGAAAAAATGAATCATACTTTTTGTAGAACCTGGGAATTTTTCGGTAAAAATTGGTTGAAAACGAAGGGACTTAGCCATTCATAACATGAGAATCAATCTTGCTTGCAAGTTAATCTTTGGAATGATGCATTTTTCAAAACTGCCGTGTAATATATTACATTTGATTTACACACATCAAATAAAAAAAAGAGCATGATTTATGACCATTGCCACCAAATGACTAATTGTTTATTTTAATATTCTCTCTCAACCTTGGATCATTTTAGGGATACTTCCATAACCTCAATATAAATGGGCGGGGGACAGGACGAAACTTGAAAGATTTAATCCCAAATTGAAGACTTCATTCAAGGCCAAATTTCATTCAAGGCCAACAGTCACCACTTCTTCATTATTTCCAGTTAGCATAAATGAGCTCCTATTTTCTCAATGCAGAATTGCATGGTAAATGCAGCTTGTTTTTGTAGCTGGCCTGAACAATGCTGTCACTCCAGTCACTTCACATACTTGCAACAGCAGCTGTTTTTTTGGTGACATGTCATGCTGAGGAGAAGTGTGCAGGAGCTCCTGGAATCCCTGGCACCCCAGGAGTCAATGGATTGCCTGGAAGAGATGGAAGAGATGGTATGAAAGGAGACCCAGGCCCACCAGGTATGCTCAGTGGTTATCTCCCCTGTTAAATAGATGTATTGCTGTGTTGACTATTATGCTTAGTAAACTAAATGGTTTATCACCCGTTTCCTTGAGTCAGATGAAATAAAGAAATGATGAGTTCTATTTAATGCACAGTGGAACCCTCTGATGGTGAAGTCAGTAAATACAGTGAATTTCTGCTTAAAGTGAAATTGTCCTGTAATTCCAATTTTAGTGAACTTCTGCTGGTGCAACAACTCCCCGTGGTGTGGAGTAGGAGGAACATTCATGTTGTGGAAATGAGAGGGAAACAAAAGCAGTTCTTTGGCAGAAGAGTGGGAAGCTGAAGGAGGGAAAAGTGGCAATTTCAATAGAGCTGGTTAGGAATTTTCTGACAATATTTTTTGTCATAAAATGTCAATTTGTCAAAACCATAATGGTTTGCAGAAAGGGTTATTTCTGACAAATCTCACAATTAAAAAAATGTTGATATTTTTTAAAAGAAAAGTTTGGGTTTGGGCTCAAACCCAGTTTTTATTTTAATTTTTTTTAGTTGAGTTGTAATGTAAAAAAGGGGGGGAGCATTAAAAAGGTCAAAACCAAAACGTTTTGAAATTATAGAAATGAAACACTTTAGTTGACCTGATCCAAACTTTTTTTCTTACTTATCAGTTCATGATTTCTACTTTTTTGTCCCGATTTGGGCCAGGAAAGAAAACTGATATCTCAAAGACTGTTGTGGAAAAAATCTCCCACTCAGCTCCAACTGTTAATTTGTCCCCTTCCCAGTGACAAGCTTCCCTTACAGCAAAGGTTTGTGGCTCCTTCAGCCATTTTTAAACCCACTTCCAAGTGTAAAAGTGAAATGGGGCGCTGGTCTGTAGTCCCCATTTATTTTTTGCAAGAAAATGAGATGAAAGTGGCTATTGGGCATAAACTACAGCTGATTTCTTGGGCATAAGAAGAGAAGGCAACAGTTCACGGTGTTCTTAAAATAAGAGAGAATTAGGGCAGAAAATTAACAATTGATCAATGCATTCACAAGCATAACTTTCCCCATCTCTTTTCTATTACCCTTTCAGTGGGAACTACTTTTCATGCAGAGGATACTTTCTATAATGCTCAACAAAACTGGTTTTTAAAATGAATTAATGAAAATGTAATACCAGGAAGCAATTACATGTCAGTGGATTAATTAGGCTTCTGATGCACTTCTCAGGTTGTTGAAGCCAAGAGGCTGTATGCACCATTGGTCTATTAATGCACCACCTGCAGATGCTGATTGTTTCATTGTGCAATATTCCTTCCATGCCAAAGGGCAGATCAGAAGCTTTCTCCAGCTCCATCACCAAAGATGCTCCAAGGTTCAAGTAGTTGGGATCCTAACATGCATTTGGTTGCTCATTCCATGGAGTCAGTGTTATGAAGCCAACAGTCACCCGAGGCTTGTGCATTAATGAAGTTATTCAGAAGCACAATGCAGTTTGTTGCTTTGCAGGCCAGCATCTGTTAAACCACTGTTCTGAATTTCCCATAAAATGCATCAGTTGAAAAGAAGTTTTGTATGTTTTTCATTTGTGTGCTTCTCTTCTCCAGGTCCTCAGGGGCCACCGAGTGGCATGCTAGGTCTTCCCGGAAGAGATGGGCTTCCTGGGGTTCAAGGGCCCCAGGGTGAAAAAGGCAACAAGGGGGAGAGAGGGGAGCCTGGACCACAAGGTGAATAAGACTAATCTTTGTTTAGTCCAAAAAACTGGATACTTGTGCTGCGTATAAAGCAGTCCAGGGAAAAGTAACTGAGTCTATTAAAGTGCAGTTCTGCTATTAGAAGTGACTGTACAAATGGTGCCTTTGTTATTCAACTGATCTGCTTCCTGTATCTATCAGATCTCCTGACTGTATTGACTAAAGTACATTTTACTACCTTTTACTCCTCTTACAAATGCAGAGCCAACACAGTTCTGAGATACTGAGAAGGAATCGATTCCTCCTTGTGCAACAGCAACAGAATTCTGTACTGAGTTTCATCAGTTACAGTTATGCTACCCCAATGATGGCAATGGGACTGTACAGGTGTCATGGCATAATTTTGCCTGCAGAAGTTTTATTACTGGTGATGATTTTGTATGAAAAAAAATAGCCAGCTTGATTCTCAGATCCCATGATAAACTTGCATGCTGGGAGGTTTTTTGTTTTTGTTTTTAAAATCTCTGTATCTATAAACTGTGGATATTTCATATGTCATCCTGGAGAGAACCTACATGGAACCCTACAATGACATTTTTGCAGTCACTATTCAGATAGAAGCATACCGTAAAACTATAAGAGTTTAACTGACCATAAAGGAGGCAGAGAAGAGGATTCCAGTTCTGTTCAATATCACACAAACTCCACACCCACTAAAGTTTTCCATTGTGGCTGTCAAGTTGCAAATTTAAATCAGAGCAAGTTCTGATTGGTTCAGCCTACGCAGGATATGGTTTCTAAAATATTAACCCTTTCATGGATTTCACACACACAAAAGACTCCAGATTAGAAAAACTGATCTTATTTCACATGTAATCTGCTTTAAGTAACTACTCTCCAGAGCTGGAGTTTCAACTGGCATATATTTTATGTATTATGGATAACAATAATCAACATGTGATAGGGTTTCTTTGAAAATATATACATACAGGGAAATAGAATTTTCCACCCCAGAAAATGAAACTGATATATGTCAAGTACAAGCCAATTTTGGAAAATTGTTATTAATTGTATATGATGCATTTTTCTTATCAGTGAAGTCCAGTTTAAATCAATTGTATAATTATTATTTTTATCTTTAGGCCTGCCTGCTTCTGTTGACCCTGAATTGCAAGAAAGCCTCCAGTTTTTAAAACATCAGATTACCAGACTGGAAGGAGGTAATCTTTCTGCTTTTCCTCACAACTTATGTAAAATGCAATGTACAAAATGAACCATGATAGCCCAACTTAAAGTAAGTTACATTTCAAAAAATTTATTTAATTCTAAAACTTTCCTCACCAAAACTTCCTTCCAAATACCAATTAAGTATGCTGAGGTGTTTGTTGCACTTTGGAAGAAGAGGAAAGATGATCCAGCAGCCCAGCCTGAGATGTGGGAGACCAGGGTTCAATTCCTGCTCTGCCACAAACATCTTGTGTGACCCTAGGCAAGTAACTCAGTCTCTCTATACCATAAAATGGGGATAATAGCACTGCCCTACCTCACAAGGGTGTTGGAAAGATCATTTGTGAGGCACTCAGATACTGCAGTAATGAAAGCCTCCCAAGAAAGACTGGTCAGTGTGTGTGTCTATGCAGTATAAAGGGCAATGCAAAAGGCTGCCCATAAGATGCAGCATAGGTGGGGGCTTAGGGCTATACAACATACTGAGCATTCTGCATACTACATGTATGAATGGACTGTAAGAACTTACATAGACTAGAATCAAAAGGGACTAGGCACAGCCCAGTGCGAAGGACTGTGCTGTGCATCTCCAGCATGTAGGGCGGCACATGGAGAAAAACATCAAGCAGGCTGTTGCAGTTTCTCTTGCTTGTACATGTTGCTCTTTGGGAGTAGGTTTCCCTCACCATGGCCAACTGATTAATGTGCAGCTCTCACTGTAGAGAGTGGAATCTACAGGTCTTAACAGAGCAGAAAAGTTACCCCCTTTTGTCTAATTCTCCATTGGTTTATCTATAAGGAGGAGCAAGATACATGCAAGGTGAGGTGTGCGGCTCAGCTCTTTTGAAACATAGATCATCTGGGGTGGGTACTCAGGGGACTGAACTCCCTCTGGAGAAGCACAAATCCCTAATAGGAGACTGCTCAGGGCCCATTTTCTCAGCAAGAGGATCTGTATAGGACTACCACAATTGTTCTCCGAAGCAAATGAGATCTCTGGTGAGCTGACACAGGGCCTGATTCTCCCAGAGTAGGAAGGACCTTTAAGGAAACGCCACTCACATTCATTCAAATTGCATTAAAAATCTTGTTAAAAAGAATTTTTTTTGTGTTGAGCTCTTGGGAATCATTGAAACTGAGGCAGTTGTATGATGTCAGTAGTGCTTATATTCTCAATACACTCTAGGGTTGTGTAGTCATTAGAGCTGTTGGGGAAAATTGGGGAGAAAAATCAAAGATTTTATCAAAATTACTTTCCTTTTCTCTTGTTAAAATTTGAAAAATTCCAACCAGCTCTACCAATTGTACACAACAGATCAGGTCTGAAACTGTATTTAGTACGGGGGGAGCAGTGCACACTTAGGTTGTAGGAGGAGACAGATTTCCGTAGGTGAAGAATTATATAGACTCGCTGAAAAAACTGATGAGTTGGTGGGATTGTGACAGAGGTAGTTCCTCCTTTTCTCCTCCTCTTCATTCTTTTCCTCTATCTCTTTTCAATCCTCTTTCCTTTCTCCCTTTATTTTTTCCTCTTTCTTCCCTTTCTATTCGTAATGTTCTCTTCTTTTCCTTTCTCTCATTTCCACGTGGTTTTTCTCCCTTCCCAGGAGTATAGTAGCAACACGGACAGTATAAAATACGACAAAAAAAAAAACCAACCAGATCTTTTCACTTTCCTTTGCAGTCCTTACTTTGGAAGGAAAAATAACAGAAGTGGGGGAAAAAATTTTCGCTACCAGTGGGAAAGAAGTCAATTTTGAAACCACATTAAAAGCCTGCGAACATGCTGGTGGCTCCATCGCCACCCCTAGGAACAAGGAGGAGAACGATGCTATTTGGGATATTGTGAAACAGTTTAACAGATATGCTTATCTGGGCATAAGGGAGAGTGATGTTCCAGGTGAATTCCATGATCTGGATGGGAAACCTCTGAATTATACCAACTGGCGTGCATATGAGCCAAATGGCAAAGGAGGGGAAAACTGTGTAGAGATGTACACTGATGGCGGCTGGAATGACAAAAAATGCAACCAGTACCGCCTCACTATCTGTGAATTTTAAAGCATATTCTTTCAGTTATTTCATAGGGCAGAGTCCATGCAATATTCTGTGTCTCAAACATAAACAGGAGCTTGTTCTCTCAGCATTATAGCTAATGTTGTCTGTGATTATTTTATCTGAGAGAAACAAAATCATGGTGTAATATTTTCCTTCCTCATGCTTACTAAGGAAATAGTAACTACTGAAGGTGATTGATCTGCAACTAGAACTATCCCTAATTTGAGAGGGGGTTAATGATAGTAACCAAACTCTGCCTTGTCTCACTGTGGCTGATTAAGCTCCAGATAAGGATTTCAGGGTTTGGCTTAATGTGTTTGAGGAGTCCCATGCTAAGATAACTTTGTACATTCCATTGTAGTTACATGCCTGGATAATGCAGCATATGCTATGCAACAACATTAGAGGAACAGGTCTCAATCCTGGAAGGAAATGCACACAGGTATACTTCAGTGGAGAAATACATGGTGGATCCGCCTTTATGCATCTCTTTGCAGGACTGAGGCCATACTGTGTACTATGAAACCCTGCAATAAAATGCAACTCAGTTATTATAAAGGGAGGCCACAACAAAAGCCCTTGAAATCATAGATCATTTAGCTATACTGCAAGCTGACCATTTTGGTTTTTTGTGTCAAATACCATGTTCCCCTATAGCACTATAGAAATAGTCATTTACAGTATTTTACAGTTCTGTCAAGACTCTTCTATATCATACTAACCACTGACAAATAGTATCATTCTGATGTGTAAGCTGAATAGATTTGACACACCCACACAAACCACATGCTCATCTGACCACCATTATCAGACCAGCAAAGGCAAGGTTTGAGAAGGGGGCTGCCAGCAGTGACATAGGTTCTGATCCAAAGCCCGCTGAAGTCAATGAGTGTCGAGCCGTTGATTTCGAAGAGCCTTGGCTCACATCACCACCACCACTACTACTACCTGGCATTCAGCTTGCGTAACTGGACTGGGCATTGAGAATCCTCATGAGCAGAAGGGGGTAAGAAATTTCTCATACACTTCCCCACCCCGTGGAGCCAGCTTCCCAGGAGTGTCCTCAAACCGTTCTCTCACCAATGCAGGGAGAAAAGGAGGTACCACAGGGTATATAGAGCAACAGACACTCTGGTCCTATCTTCTCCTGTTCCCAAGATCTTCCTAGATGTTGCTACACAGAGAGCCTGCATAGTGTTGGACTCTACACCATGCCAGGGAGTGATCTTTTTCCTATCCTACACTGTAGGGACTCCTCTGTATGGCCAATTCATACAGTGTGCTTCAGCAAAACTTTGAGTTCCAATATTAGGGAATGGGCTAGTTTTTTGGGAGTAAAGGAGGGGTCTCTTGTACAGGCCCATACACAGCAAAGGTCTCCAGCCAGTCTAAGAATGTGCAACATGACTGCTACTTCAAAACTGGCATAGAATAGCAACTCTTGATATAATGTCCACTATGTGGGCTTCAAAATGTTGACTCTTCACTTGCAAAATAACCTCTTTAAAGTCCTATTGTTGTCTTGGCCAAAAATATGCCTACTAGAATGGCATAGATTCTGTGAAGAAGAAAGATTTATTATTCTACAAACAAAACTCTCTTGGCTTTATCTATCTTTGATTATCACAGTGTAGCCACTTAGTTCATTTTATCTTTTCATTACACAGCTGGAAGGACTTTCCTTTCATATATGAAGATTGCTGGATAACACCCGTCCTTGTGATAAATAGGTTTAAGAGGGGTTATACTTCCAAAATCAAATACAGACCTGGAAACAGCAGGAAATCTGCCCCTTTTGTAGGACTTCAGCATAGTACCAAAACCAAAGTCTGATGCTGAGGCTGCCGTGGTTGACTTAACATAGGGTTCAGCCCGAGTACCTGCATCTCCCCAGTGACTTCTTTTCTTTGATGTGGATGCATGGGATACCAGGCAGCAGGACCTGTCTGCTCTCTAGAGTTTCTCTCATTTTTTCCTGTTGTTTTACAGCATCTGGATGAGTGGGTTCTCTTCTCTTAGAAGCCATGAAAGGAGCAATGTTTTGTGGTGCTGAAAAACACCTAGGGAGACAGTGTGGTTCATTAGGCTGGACTGGGACTTGAGAGCTTGGGTGGAATCTTGGTTTGCCACTGAAGTCAATACCAAAACCCTGGTTCTGTTTCTTGTTCTGCTGCTGACATGCTGTGTGACCTTGGGTGAGTTGTTTCCCTTCTCTGGGTCTGTTTCTCCTCCCATTCTTTGCCTTTCCTGTCTGTTTGGAGTGAAAGCTATTGGGCACAAGGGTTGTCTCTTAATATTTATATGCACTCTGCCTCTAGGTACTACTGTAATACAAAAATAGTAATAAGAAAAAATGAAGGACACTCTAGATCTCAGAGGCCCTGTCGTCTACATCTGAGAGGGACAAAGTTTCTTGTACCGTTCCTTTTTGAACCTCCCCAAATGTGCAGTTTCTTGACTCCTCGAAGGCACCAAAACCAATTTAGATAAACACCTGAAGTTCGGAGGCCTTTCCTAAATCTTTTTCAGGTTCAACCATCGTTAATAAGATTATTACATTCTCCTAACCACTGCAGGAGTGGCTATGTGAACTGTTGGATTAAAGTTCATGAAAACTGATATTTGCCCTGTAATTTTTGAGACAAAAACACATAAAGCTTGGTATCTGTACTCAGCTGTGTAAAGTTAATTAAATGTTCCAAGAAGCATAAGTAAGCAGTGATTAAGTATTTATTCAGAGAAACATTTGAGAATCAGGAAGTTAAGTGTACTTGAGGTCTAGTTGGGAACCTGTCTAGCTCTTGTTACCTTTAATGACAGACCTCTATTATGAACCAGTAGTTGTAAAAGACTTAATTCCACAGTGATCTTTGAATTTCAATTGGTGCCTATATATAGCGAGCTCAGTTTCTAAAGCTTTCGTACACTATGATAAATAGGTAACAGCTAGTCTATTGTTTAGGGTATCAGGACAGGGTTATCCCCTATCGTGTGTTCTCCAGTGATCTCCAATCCAATTTGAAATATCTAAACCAATGGAGCCTCCACCACTTCTCCTTGGGAGACCGTACACATTCAAATAGATGTCATGATTAAGGAATGTTTCCTGCTATTTAGCCTAATTTTCCCCCTGTGCTAGACTTCATCCCATTACTCCAAGTTGGACCAGCTCTAAACAACTCCTTTTCCTCCGTGGTGTAAACACCCCATCATTGATGTGATTGGGTGCCTTGGGCAGGCCACTCTGAGAATTCCACATTCAGGGCAGACAAACCGCAAAAATTGGTGATTTATTCTTTAATTAGATTCACCAAACCAGTAACAAAATAGCCTCTGCAATACCACACTGATAAACCAGAAACCAAACACAGTTCCCTTAGGCCTGGTCTACACTACGGGGTTAGGTCGAATTTAGCCACGTTAGGTCGATTTAAAAATGACTGCGTCCATACAACCAATCCCGTTCCGTCGACCTAAAGAGCTCTTAAAATCGACTTCTGTACTGCTCCCCGACGAGGGGAGTAGCTCTAAAATCAACCTTGCTGGGTCGATTTTGGGGTAGTGTGGACGCAAATTGAGGGTATTGGCCTCCAGGAGCTATCCCAGAGTGCTCCATTGTGACCGCTCTGGACGGCACTTTGAACTCTGATGCACTAGCCAGGTACACAGGAAAAGCCCCGGGAACTTTTGAATTTCATTTCCTGTTTGGTCAGCGTGGCGAACTCAGCAGCACAGGTGACCATACAGTCCCCCCAGAAGTGTAGAGCGTAGAATGTTTCTACGCTCCCCCTATCATCTCCGTCCCTGAGGTTATCGCAGATTAGAAGGTGAAAAAACCGCACTCGCGATGACATGTTTTCCGAGCTCATGCAGTCCTCCCGCACTGATAGGGCACAGCTTAATGCATGGAGGCATTCAGTGGCAGAGGCCAGGAAAGAATTAAGTGAGCGCGAAAAGCAGAGGCAGGACACGATGCTGAGGCTAATGGGGGAGCAAATGGACATGATGAAGCGTCTGTTGGGGGAGCAAACGGATATGATGAAGCGTCTGTTGGAGCTTCAGGAAAGCCAACAAGAGCACAGACTGCCGCTGCTTCCACTGTATAACTGCCTACCATCCTCCCCATGTTCCATAGCCTTCTCACCCAGATGCCCAAGAACACGGTGGGAGGCTCCAGGCACCCAGCCACTCCACTCCAGAGGATGGCCCAAGCAACAAAAGGCTGTCATTCAAACAGTTTGATTTTTAGTGTTGATACAATAAGCAATGTGGCCTTGGCCTTCCCTCCTCCCCCACCCCACCTGGGCTACCTTGTCTGTTTTCTCATTTTTTTTTAATTAATAAAGAAAGAATGCATGGTTTCAAAACAATAGTTACTTTATTTCGAAGGGGGGAGGGTGGTTGGCTTACAGGGAATTAAAATCAACAAAAGGGGGCGGGTTTGCATCAAGGAGAAGCACACACAACTGTTACACCAAAGCCTGGCCAGTCATGAAACTGGTTTTCAAAGCCTCTCTGATGCGCAGCTCACCTTGCTGTGCTCTTCTAATCGCCCTGGTGTCTGGCTGCTCAAAATCAGACACCAGGCGATTTACCTCAACGTCCAACCCTGCCATAAATGTATCCCCCTTATTCTCACAGATATTATGGGCACACAGCAAGCAGCAATAACAATGGGAATGTTGATTGCCCTGAGGTCTGACCTAGTCAGTAAACAGCACCAGTGAGCTTTTAAATATCCAAGGGCACATTCTACCACCATTCTGCACTTGCTCCGCCTATAGTTGAACTGCTCCTTACTACTGTTCAGGCTTCACGAGCCATGGGAGCAAGGGGTAGGTGCGACCGTGCGGTGCTGCCGGCTGGGAGAGCAGCCTGAGGCAGAAGCCTCCAGCTCGCATGATATTCCAGGCAGGACTGAATCTCCATGAGATGAAACTTAAAGAAGAGAATGACCTGGAGTCTCTGGCTCCCATTAGGTGCTATAAGAGGATAATAGCCACATCTGTCCAGGCGCCCCGATCGACCTCACCGAGGTCTGCCAGGAGCACCCAGGAGATATATGATGGCTCTCAGTCCTACTGCACCATCTGCCATGAAGGCAAGGAGCTGCTGCTGTGTAGCAATGCAGTACTGTGTCTGCCAGCAGCACCCAGGAGACATATGGTGACGGTGAGCTGAGCGGGCTCCATGCTTGCCGTGGTATGGTGTCTGCACAGGTAACCCGGCAAAAAAGATGCAAAACAATTGTCTGCCATTGCTTTCATGGGGGGAGGGAGGTGGGCCTGATCACATGTACCCAAAACCACCCGCGACAATGTT